CAGCTGAAGACTCACTTGTTCAAGCTGGCTTTTGTATGACCTTCTTCACCTCTCTCTCTTTATTCTGCTCTCCCCACCTATTCCACCTTCCTCAGGATCCACTGATTTCCCTCTTTCCTATTCACTCTCTCTCTTTCTTAACATTTTTTCTTTTAAATCGCAATTGCTTATTCTTGCTCATTTTAAATATATTTTTAAACATTTTCGAAATGCTTTTTTTATATTTTTACATTTTTTATATTTTTTGTTTTTGTGAAGCGCCTCATGATTTTTATCTTGAGAGGCGCTATAGACATGATATTTTCTTCTTCTTCTTCTACTAAGGCAGTAGTCTGGTGGCGTTGATTTGCCCAAGTCACAGCACACTCGATGAGAAGGCGGGAGGATTGATTTCCTGTGTTACTACCCACCAGGACTCCTGGTCCTACTGGTGGGCTCGACCTTTTGGCACCGTCGGGCATGTCGAAATAAAATGTCCTGGAAGTTCACAGTATAGAGCCAGCTGATTCTTCACTCTGTCACTCAGGGCCTCAATAAAAGCTGCCTTTAAGGCGTCGTCATTCCATGACGTCATGGCCGCCAAAGTCCTGAATTCTGGACATCTCTGTCACCATTCTCCTCCCCTGAGTTAAATGCAAGAGCTTCTTTCTTATGTCAGTAGTGGTCTCAGAAATGCAGAAAGTCTCTTTAAACTCCTCCAGAAAGTCAGTATACGAACCAGACAAGAAATCTGCGTTTTGGCTCTTCGCCTCTGCCCACCTAAGAGCATTTCCCCTCATAAGTCCAACAATAAAATAAATCTTAGAAGAGTCTGTCATGAAAGCACTTGGGAAGCGCTCGAACGCCAGGCGGCACTGAAGCAAAAAAGCATAACACTCATCGAACTCACCCGAGAACGTAGGGCATGACAGAGGAGGAGCTGAACGGAAGTGGGTGGCTTCCGGAGGGCCGACCGTTTCCGGTCCGGGCGGACTCACTGTTCGCAGCGTTGGTTCCGAGTTTGAAGCGGAAATGGTGACTGGAGCTGAAGCTGGGATTGGCGCTGGAGCTGGAAATCGCTCGTGAAGCTGTTGGACCATAGCCTCCAAATGCTGGTAATGCTGGTTAGCAATTGTCAGCTGCTCCATAAGCACCGGAAGAGTCTGCTCCTGCTGGGACATCCTGTTAGCTAGATTGGCGAGTGCTGATTCCGCTGGGTTAACGTGCTGGTCGGATGATTCTGTCATGACTCGAGGGAGATGTTTAACCCAAGACATGCAGAATCAACACGACTTCAATGGTGAGTAAAGAAAAATCCTTTTATTTTAGAACAGGGACTAAAGGAGCACTGGAAGGTCCAGTGAGGGTGTGCCGTTCGGCTAAAGTCCATTTAATAGTCCCAGATATGCAGAAAGGGTGTCAGCCTAGGTGAGCGTAGGTGGTGACACAGCGGGCTGAGGTGGATGAGGCAGCGAAGATTAAACAAGCAGGCGTTGAAGAGGAGGATGGGACATGGTTCTGGAACTCTGGGGTTCGAGCAGCGAGAGTAGTGTGTAGAGTTGAGTATCCTGAACAGAACAAAGAGGTTTCAGAGGAAAATCCAAAAGCGTAATCCAGAAAAAACAGTCCAGGGTTCAGAGCCAAAAAATCCAATATCTACTGTAATTCTAACAAGCAAACGAGCAAACGAAGTCGAGAGGCTGGGGCTACCTAACAGGTGCAATCATCCGGCGTAGTGTGGTGTCTCCATCCTCCCTTCATACCCGACCTCCAGATCGGAGATTCGGCACACCTGCAGCTCCCTCCGCTCCTCACCTGTGGAAAATTTCCTCAGAGCTGGTTATTGTGGAAAGGTGCTCACCTCAGCTCAGGAACATGACAAAATGTTAGCCATTTCATGTAGTTTACAGTAGGGCTGTCACAATAATCGCAAGAACAATATATCGCGATATTGAGAAACCCACTGCGCTGCATGACGTGCCACCGCAATTACCGCACTTGATTAAATCTCGCGACAGCGCATGCTGAGAGGTAAAGTCCGCGCTGATCGAGGAGATAGTAGGGCACTTTTTTTTATTTCTGTTAGATGTTGCAGGCAAATTTGCATTTCAAAGTTAAACCTCCTGAATGTTGTTTTTAAGTTCAGTCAGAGAATGCCGTTACTGCCCTTTGATCTGCATTCAATAAAGTGTTAAAAATGGCCATGTATTTTTTTCTAACATTTTTTAAATGTGTAAGCACAATGTTTCAAAGGAAATATTGCCATGAGTTTAGTAATTAACAAACAAATTTGCTAAGTACATAAATAAAAACGAGGTGCAATAATATCGCATATCGCAATATTGAGCTGCCCTGACTCACCGCAGGGGGAATTCCTCAATCGCGACAGCCCTAGTTTACAGTGGATAGAACAAAAAGGTGTTAGGAAAAGTATTATTTGCTCAGACTCCATGTCAGTATTGTTATCAATTAAAGAAATGTCAGCGTTAGATTTATGTGGATTCCAGCTCACAGTGGAGTAGAGGGTAATGAAAATAGCTGATTATTATGCAAAGCAGGCAACGAAACTGGATACTATGATGGAGGTTCCACATAGTGTTGCAGAGGTGAAACCAGTTATTAGACAGCAGATTGTGGATGAATGGCAAGAACAATGGATAAGGGACAAGAAAGGAAGACATTTTGTACAAATTAAAGGGAAAGGTTGGAAGAATGGAAGTCATTCAAATGAGTAACAGAAATCAAGTGATAACAAGGATGAGAATGGGACATACAGCTTTGAACAGTACGCTTTTTATTCTTGGACGGCATAATACCGGTATGTATGACTGTGGACAAGGTAAGCTGGGGGATCCCTGAACACCTCATCACGAAGTGGAAACTTATTAAAAACACTAGGTACGGAGGTGGGTGCCCTAGTTTTTATGTTGTGTGAACCCAAGGGTCTCATTATCTGAATTTTGAGACTTGTTGGATCGTGAATCTGTTTAAAGGTTTTGCCCCTTTTTAACTTTGAGCACCCGCCCCTTCAAAGGTCTCTGCACGGCCCTGCGAGACTGAGCCTGGATTTGTATTCTGAACAGTTGAAACACGTTTTAAAAAGAAACATGGCGACTAAAGTGGCACCTGCTCAGTAAAACCACTAACAGGGTGAAAGATATCAACATATTGTAGGCAGAGACGGGCGACAACTTCTGAATCTATTTTATACAAACAGTTTTGTTTATCTTCTGTTGACAGATAACTTTGACGTACACGAGCGACCGCTATTGGCTGCTGTGATTGGTTAAAGCAGCTCTCTGCTGCGGCTCCCAGCATTTTCTGTGGGAAACAAATAATAACGGCTCTTTGATGGGAACAGGCTGCCGACCCCTGGATTAGATAGTTATTGTTTTTGTGGTTATTTGTAGCAAGGTTGATGTAAAATAAAATATAAACAAAAACAGTTGGGAAAAGAGAGCGAGGTAGAGCGGCCGCAGCAGCCGAAGCAGAAACTATTTAGTTCCTTCATCCCCAGAAATCTCACTCTGAACTTTTCTTTTAACTTGAGAGCTCTGTCGGTGAGGAGGTGTTAGGATGGTGTGGAGATGGGTGAGGAGGTCTTTGAGTGGTGTGGAGATGGGTGAGGAGGTCTTTGGGTGGCATTGAGATGGGTGAGGAGGTCTTTGGGTGGCATTGAGATGGGTTTTTGTCTTCTTGTATGTAAACAAGCACCGAGCAGAACCTTCTGGGTTTGGAGGCCAGATAGAAAGTGGGTTTATGTCCTCAAATCAAAGGTTATGTTGTGGTCAAGTAGATGGTGAAAAATAGACCACTTGTGTACGTAACATAGCTCACGTAAAGCTTCAGTTACTATTTAAAACATCTCAACACAAGTAACAGAAAAATGAAAGCAAAACAAATAAAATGAACTCCTTTAAGCAGTCAGTTACTTTATCTCTCCCCGTGTCCTGTCTGGCTGTAAAGCACCAGAACTGATGTCTGAGATCCGAAAACGAGCCTCAGAGTTCTTCTCACAGGTAGAGCGTTACAGATTCAGCTGTAATCCTACACCTGATATCTCAACTTTGCTGGATGCAATCACGCTAATGCGTTATTTTGCTTTCTGTGTTTGTTTTTCAAAACGGCTGGGATCCACAGAAGGTGGATGTGGAACTTGTGTCTCATTAGGGACTCCATTCATTCTCTGACTGAGGAATGCAGCGCATCAGTGCAGCAGCAGCCAACAAAGAAACGGAGGACGTTTGGACAAGCAGAACAGCAGCTGGGTGCAGAGGTAAGCTGTACATTACATTTCTGTAAACAAGACAATCAGAATCAGAAATCCTTGGTTGTCCCACAAACCGGGACATTTGTTTAATAACATGTACATTGTTTAATGTGCAATAACTGTAAAAACTCATTTCAACACACATACCTATTATACATATTTAATCATGTAAATGTGTATTTCAAGTAAATTTGTACATACATCAATCTGATTCCATTTTACTTGTTACACTTCTGCTGCAGCAAACAAATTTCCCAGCTTGGGAAGTGGGAAATATGACATTTGTAAGAGGATACTGATGACATTATTTCCTATGAAAGTGTTTCCACTTTCCATAAGTCCTAACAGTGTAAATTTCTGGCATTTTGTCTAAGTAGTGTTTACTACCATTACTGTAACAGTGACCTGCTCATAATTTTTCGTGTTCACTCAAATGTTGAAATTAAAAAAAATGTTTTTGTTACTTGCCTCTCGCATTGCCTTTTTACCATTTATGGTCATGTTATTTTATGTGCAATTTAATGCAGTATTTTTCAACCTTGGTCCGCAAGGCAGTGTGCCAATAGTCAGACACACCTGGATTAATCAGTTTGTCCAATGATGTAAGACAGGAAATAAAAGAGCTGTGCTTAATTCAGGAAATAGTGAAGTTGTGCACAAAGCTCAGAAAGCACAAGTTTGTTAAAAAAAATAGCACAGGCCCACCAAAAATATTTTTCACCAGCCGCCACTGGAACACAGGTCTGTGGAACAAAATAAATTTTTATCCTGCCAGCAGGTGGCGCTAGTGCACCTTTACGCTGGTCACCGACCACCGGAAGAAGCAGAAACCGGAAGCTGCTAGCAGAGCTAGCTTGTTGTTCTGGTGTGTGAGGAGAAGATTTGAGGCTCTGCAGTAAAAACGTCTTCACTTCAGTCTCTGGGAGAGTTGATCAGCTAAAGCGACTAACTGCTGCTGCTGCAGAAATCTTCTCACCAGGCTGTGGAAACTTTCTTCTCCTCCTCAACAACTTGGTGGAGTTCTTTCCAGAACCAGAGAAGATATTCTGCGGTCTTCGTGACAATCGGAGCTCCAAAAGCAGGTGATGGGTCAGAAAAGCTTTTCTCTGGACTTCCTGCCCTCTGGATCTGCTGCTGTTCCTTTGGTCTCTCTGAGAAACGCGCTCGTTTTGCTGCTTTCATCAGATTGAAGAGGTTCCCTCTATCAGACTCGCTCATCTGAGTTGGTCATGATGCAGGATCGCTGCTCGCTCTCTCATCCATCCTGCTCACACTCTCCGACGGAAAAGCCCCGAATCTGAATGTGACTCTGGAGGAAAAAGAGGTTAGCTCTACTCCGTGAACTCTGGTGAGCAAAGGTCCTCTTTTCCAGACTGGATGTGTCCTCAGCTGATCAGAACCAAAGCGTTGGATCTTTTATCTCCTGCGTTGTTCTGAAGCAGCATCTTAATCAGCTCTCCTGCTTTGTTTCTATTGCAGCTGTTAGCTAAACACGGCTAAAGAAAACCTGCTACCACTTCAGGATCATCCATCAGCATGGACACAGGTACTGGTGTGTGTGTGTGTGTGTGTGTGTGTGTGTGTGTGTGTGTGTGTGTGTGTGTGTGTGTGTGTGTGTGTGTGTGTGTGTGTGTGAGACAGCTATAATAACTGTTTACATATAAACTGTAGATGAAACCCTTTAGTGCTCCAGCAGCAGCTCCTATGGAAGGTCACGACCATTTTATTTAAAGAGCAGATTTATTGTTGCTCACACAACCCAAAGTGCTGTAGCTCATAGAACACACCCAAAAATGAAACTCCTTAAAAAGCTAAGAAGTAGAAAATTAAAATGATAAAACCATTAATAAAATGGCAGAAAGGAAAGAAAGAAAGAGCTATTATTTATAAATGATGATAAATGACCCACACTTGTATAGCACCTCTCAGAGTGACGACTCCAAAGCGCTTTACGCTACAGTGAATCATTCACCCATTCACACACGGGTGGGGATGAGCTACGATGTAGCCACAGCTGCCCTGGGGCGCACTGACAGAGACACCTCAAGATAAAAATTACGAAACTTCACAAAAACCAACAATTAAAAAGGTGTTAAAATAAAATATCATAAAAATGAAAAAAAGTAAAGATTTAAAGATGTGAGGAAAGAGAACGAGAAAATTATCAACCAGTCAATCAGATTTTAATTATAAAGCGCTTTTTAAGCTAAAGTGTGACTCAGAGAGGTTGAATTAAAATGACCCTAAATTCCCGAAACAGATTAAAAGCATTATTATTAAGAAAGGAGGAAATCAGTGGAAAGGCAGAACAAGGAGAGGGTGGTGAACGTCCCACCAAAGCCTGAACTGGTGAGTTTAAAGGAGACCACTGAGTCCACTGATCTCAGGCTCAGGGGGAGAGAGGTCCAGAGTCTGGGGGCCACAGCAGCAAATGATCTGTCACCTTTGACCTTTAGTCTGGTGCTGCACAACCAGTAGGCTTTGGTCACTGGACCTCAGGGACCTGCTGGGGGTGTAGGGACTGAGAAAATCACCAGTGTATGATGGTGCTTGTCCATGTAAGGCCCTATAGACCAGAACCAGCACCATATTTTTCCTCCTGTAAAATATTTATGTTAACTCCCTTCAAGCTGTCTTATATCTTATATTATATACATAAATTCCTCAGATTGAAATCATAAAAATGCATTTATCTATCTCTCTGGGGTGCTTCTTAGGAAGGAACCTTGCCTTGATGTCTTGGCCCCGCCTCGGTTGCCTAGGAGATATGTCATCAGGAGCCGCCAAAACGTGTTCCAATGTTCATGTTCTACCGAGGCATGTGTTCTAGAGCCCTACACGGGCCTAAAATCTGAGCCCGTGCCCGGCCCGAGGGGGTGGAGCCCCAGCCCGACCCGGTCCGAAAAGGTTTTCAGGATTCTCCGGCCCGACCCGGTCCGAAAAGGTTTTCAGGATTCTCCGGCCCGACCCGAGCCCGACTTTTTTTTAACCAACTAAATGAAAACAAAGTGCGTCAATCCTGACCAATGTGTTAAAAGACGTGCAGGATCCGATCAATTTGTTTTTCCCTCATTTACCGTCACGAAGATAACGGAGCAGTGCTCCTGGCTCTGGTGGTAATCAAGTTAAATTTTATCTCTTTGCAACAATTTTCACAAGAAAACAAAACAGTTAAAAGCAGGACTTGTGTTGACCAGATAGTTCCCGTATTTGACCATTTATTTTGACGGAGAAAGAATAGAAAGAATTACCCCGACGCATGCAGACGAACTGACATTTTATTCTACGTACATCGCAGATGTAGCTAAATCACCCAAGAAAAGATTCCCATCTGAGCTGGACACTGCTCAGCGCAGCTCACTGCAAGCGCATATGTGCACAGCGAGCTGAAGATGTGGAGAGGGGCTTGGAGCGCGTCGCAGAACCAGAGTGCATGCGGGAAGGTTCCTCCAACTGAAGTGAGTGTTTTCCAAACCCTGTCTCTCAGAGAGACTTGTCACTTAGAAAATGTTCCTGATTATGAAACTTTGGCTGAATAGTGCTTGTTCCTGTCTCCAATGTGGCGACACATCCAGGAGCCGTCTGAGGAGAAGCCCAGAATCTCACATCCTCTTCAGCTCAGAAGCGCCTATGATTACGCACAAGCGTGACTCGTCAACCCGGTCTCACAGTAAAACCGGGTTGGACCTGTTCAGGTTTACGCAGACAATCTTTACATTTAGAATTGACTTACAGATAAAAAATTAATTCAGTAAAATATAAAGCATTTTATTTAAATATCCATTCATTATTTTACAAGCACAGAGAGCCGCATCAGATGGATGGAAGAGCCGCGGGTTGCCGACCCCTGGTATAGCTTATAAAATGACATGTCGAGGACGCAAACTCAATACATCTCTTTTATTGTGAGGTAATAATTTCTCCGAGTTTTGCGGTTGCGGGCGGGAGTAGACATGCACGCTACGGGTGCGGGCGGTAATGGCCAGAATTTCAGCGGGAGCGGGCAGGAGCGGGATGAAGAAAACAGTCCCGTGCAGGGCTCTACTGCTGCGTTTAAGTGTTTCAATTTATTTTATGAATTCGATTAAAAATAAAGGCGCCCGGCCCGTGTCTGAGGTAATTACACAGCCGTTGGCCTGAAGCCCGGCCCTCGGGCCGTCGGGCCGACCCGAGGGCCTAGGGCTTCAGTGCAGGGCTCTAATGTGTTCTCCATTTGTTAGCCGTTTAGCTAGCTGAGCGAGGATACATGGGAGGTGTCTTGTAGCCTAGCCATGGTCAAACATTACCCAGAATACACAGCAGTATTTTCAAAAGGACGGCGGATCAGAAGCCGGCAGCTACTTCGGGGGCAAATTTCAAGTTTAAAAGTAAGACAACCAATTTAAAATGTTTTTTAGATCCAAAAAAGTTATCTATGGTTGGTTAGTTGCTTAGTAGTTGCAGCTTCGGTGGCTAGTGGGTAGTAACTCACTTATATATTTAATTTATTAAACATATACACACTTTGAAAAGTAAAAGGCTTGTTATATATTTATATTGAAACAAATACATATAAAATATAACGTTATCTCCCATGTGACGTTACGTGACCGCCGTGGAAGCCGTCGTCACGTGATGCAAGTCTGTTCCATTTAACCGTTTTTGACCAAGGAAGGACAGTGTCCTCGTAAGTAAGGCGCCTGGCCTTGCAAGACATCGCCTCGCAAGGCCAGGCGCCCTGACATTGAGAAACACCCTCTGTCTCTCTTTCTGTCTGTCTGTCTGTCTCTCTGTCTGTCTATCTAACAGTAATTCATGCTTTTATTACATCAAGGCTTGGTTACTGTAATTCTTTGTACCTTGGTGTTTCACAATCCCACCTCTCACGTCTTCAGTTGGTGCAGAATGCTGCTGCACGGCTGCTCACTGGGACGAAAAAGACGGAGCATGTTACTCCTGTCCTGGCCTCGCTGCACTGGCTGCCTGTTCGTTTTAGAATCCAGTACAAGGTGCTTTTATGGGCTTTTAAATCTTTGCATGGCCTTGCTCCTGATTACCTCTCTGAGCTGCTGGTTTTTTACAGTTAGCTTCGAGTTAAAACTAGCGGCAAAATGTGGTTGTTGTTTTTTTAACCTGGAGTCAGCCAGCCTTCAAAAAGAAAACTCATCAAACTGGAAGAGAAACCACCAGGACCAGTGGCAACATGAAGATGTAATGAAAAGGGGTGAATTGGAAACAGCGGTGTCATAAGACACTAGCTACATTATGAACCGGGATCTGTGCAAATGAGCAACACCGTTTGCTGCTGGAGAAAAGGACGTAACAACTCATCAGGAAATAAGACAATGAAGCTTGAGACTATTTGAGAACACGACAACAGCAAATGCGTCGTTGCCTGCACATCCATGTCCAGGCTCAATCTGAGCCTACTCATGATTCCCACAGCGTCGGCGCTAACGTCAGCGCAAACAAGCTCAAAAAGGAAAGTGCTGTTTCGTACCGTACGTGCTATTGGAAAGAAAATGTGCACGCTAGTAAAATTTGCTTTTTTAACATGTCTATGCTCTTAAGTTCAGTTGTGAAATATGGCTAAGTAATTCTAATTATACAAAATGTGATCACCAAACAGTCGAGTTATGCTGATTAACATTATCGTATATTTACTAGGGCTGGGCGATACGGCCTAAAATCAGTAACACACAGAGGTGGGAAGACTACTAAAATTTCCTACTTAATTACGAGTACCAATACTTTGATAATTTTTTACTCAATTACAAGTAAAAGTACTTGCCTAAATTTTTACTCAAGTAAAAGTAAAAAGTATTGTAAACAAAATGTACTCAAAGTAAAAGTTACTTAGTTACATTTTTGTCAGCGTAGGATGGCTACAACTAAGTAGTGCTAAATCACAACGCCAGTACACAACACACACACACTCAAACATGCAAGGCTTGAAGGAGGGATTTCTATCCAATCAGTGAGAACAGGACGTGCACATTGATTGGACGAGGTTTTTCTAGAATGGTAAGTTTCAATTGTGATTAAAATTATTCTTTATTTTGAGAGAAAAACATTTTTTTTAGACACCATCAGCATGTGAGGTATCTCAATGTTTTCATGACAAAACTCTAACATGAGACTGTGCTCTAACCTGTCACATAACAAGCTAAATGAAAGTCAAACATGTCAGATGGACCGTATGACAGCTGCTAACGTTGGCCCTGCCCTACTTTACCTCTACATTACAGTTCCTTTATCCATGTCCATCCTAGAGCTCCTCTCTGACCTTCATGCTTATTTAGAGCAGCTGATTTGTAAAGTTAGCAGAGTTCATCCTTGGTGGTGGGTTCACTCACTCATTTAACCCTTCACCACTGAAATCAGTTTGTTCATTCCAGTCCTCCTAAATAATCCTCCAATCGTCCAACTGGAATCCTTAAGGGTCCCGTAACATCCATCCTGTCAGAACAGGCCTTGGGAGCCCAGGTGTTACTAGAACTAATGGTGTCTCCTCACCAGCGTGAGCCTCCAAACTGTGAAGGTTGGTCTCCAAACATGAACTTTAAA